TGTAATTGTAATATGATGAATAACGTGAATTTTAATAGAAATAAAGTCATGATTTAATAAAATCAGATAAAGACCTATCCCTAGTCTGCTAAATCATAGCAATTTGTTTATATCATTATGTTGTTTGTATGTACAATATTAAATGTTTTGTATCAGTGTAACTTGAATATGATTTAAGCATGTGGATGTAATTATCATTCAATTGTAAATCAAATATTGTGTTACATGTGTTATTTAATTATATGATATTTTATTTATTGATTAATAAGACGTCGTATTTTCTTAATATTAAAACTAAAAGTGTAACAAATTAAGACATTTCAATTAAAAAAATTAAAGTAATATTAAAATTGGAAGTTTTTATTAGATATCATTTTAGAAGGTTTGATTATTTTGTTCTCGTCATTTTATTAACGGTAATAAATATATTTTTTTTCTTTAAAAAACAATGTTTTTTTAAAAACTATAAAATTTTATCTAAATAAATAATTGTTTGAATTGATAAATATTTAAATAGATAAAGTTTTAGAAAAAAACTTTAAAGTATATAATATTTATATATGGCAATCGTAACAAATAAACTCATACACTATCTTTATTTTTGGTGAGATTTGAACTCCTAACTTCATAGAAGGCTAAAAAACTACTATATTACTAGATCAAAAGGTATTTGATGATAAAATTTCAAACTTAATTTGAGGATAATGTTTAAAAAAAAGTTGTGTCACGCAAATCGATATGTTTTTCATGTTGTATGCATATCGAGACATTTTCATGCTTTTTCATAATATTACATGTATATGAATATAAAATATAATAACATATATCATATTTTCGTGCCTTTTTCATAATATTATATTTATTATTTCCACTGCGTTTATATGATCCCGTTGAAACCATACAGTGGTATCAGAGCCCCTTGCTATGTAATAGGGGCAGAAAATTGGGTGAAAACTGTTAAAACGGAAAAACCATAAAACCGTTGCCAACAACTGTCGTAGGTAGGCCGTCGGGGCACCGTGCGCCGGAGGCGCCAAGCCCCATGACTTGGGCGCCAGCCAGTTAGGTTGCTTGTTGTTTAGGCGACTGGGCAGGCTCGGCCTAAGTGAGGCTTCGGCCTCCTTGTGCCGGCCCTAGTCGTTGTTCCGGCCGTCTGCTTGGTACAAAACAAAAAAAAAATCCTCGAAATCCTAGGGTTTTTTTTCGCGTTTGCTAGAGTTTTTGGTGGGCCGGGTGGATTTTCTTTTCTTCACCCGGTTTAGGCCCAATTTTAATGGGCTTGTGTATTTATATGTTTATTGGACCCAAGCCCAATATTATGCATGTTTTCTTTAATCGGATTTGGTATCGGCCCAATTGGCTCGTGGTTGCGCGTAATTTTAATTTCGAAAATTAAAATGTATTGGTTATATCGTTTATGAATTTTATACGATTCGCGCATCCTTTTTGTATTTTTAAAAATGTAATGTAATAGATAGGTTAGACGTTGTAGCCTAGAATAACATTACTATTTCAATTATTTTGTAATCAAAGAACCGGATGACCGAAGGAAACGAAGACGGAGTCCTGGAGCCTACCTTGGCCGGTGGAGCTAGTGGGAGTCAAAGATGTCCTTAGGTTTTGACCGTGGTTCCGTGTGGGCTCACATAAACTGCACTAGTGAGCCATACCAAAATCCATATTGTTTGTTTGTGTTTGTGTCATTTTATTTCTTCACTTTACTTTGCTTTATAATTATATGCTATAATTGTCGTAATTTATTTCGAAAAGGAAATCACATTTTAAAAATCGGTAAAATGTAAATGATTTATAATAAATTGATAAGTTATGAATATGCCGATTTTGTGAATTTTATAAATTCAAAGAATGTTTCGAAACTACTTACTGACTCCAAATTGTTTTAAAATCTAATTTTAAGAGATCGGTAAAACCCTTAAAATAGAAATGCAAGTTTTTCACCAGCCAATTAAAACTCTTATCGAACATACAATTGTCCGGTCTAGTATGAGCATTGGCCAAGCCGGGTCGAATAAGTAGAGTGTAAGATAAGGAGCCGGTCATAAGATTACAATACGTTGTGTGTTTGCCCTCCTGTTGTGATAGTTATCACCTAGACGATCAACTTATGAGTTGCTCAAAATAGGAGTTGTAATGTTTAGTATGGTTAGACTTGCTTGAGGTACTGTTCCATTGTGTATTGCCCGTCCATAAGTAGCATGAAGGTGAAGAGGTAGGATCAAACATGCCTTTAATTATAAATAAATAATTATACGAAGGTCTAAGAGTTGTGATGATCGCAATTGGAAGGTGCCTACCTAAATAACTCTCTCACCGTTCATGTATTGACCAATTGTGAGGCTTAGGGGCCGTTTACCAAACGCTTACCCAGGTAAGCGTTTATCAAGTCATATTATCTTACCGGATGAATATGGTAAGGACCAAGAATCTTACCCAATAAGAGGGAGACAAGGACCGAGAGTCTTATCCGGTAAGTGAGGGCGACGATTCTTATCATGGTGAACGCTTATTGGGTAAATTGTTACATACAATGCCATTTTGGTGGACAAAAGTCTTGCCCGGTAAGTAAGTGGTAGTGTTAAATTTTACCGGTAAGCGCTTACCGGGTAATTGTTTGTAAACGGCCCCTTAGTGAAATATGGATCTTAGCTCAATTTTGAATTTAAAGGGTTGCTCAATTTTGAATTTAAAGGGTTACTCAAATTTTGAGAAATTAATTACTAAAATAAACTTTATTTTATGTAGATGTCTTCTAATCAAGCTAACACAAACAACTCAAACATCACCCAGTTCATTCTCCGCTCAGTCTTAGATAAAGTATTTTTCATTACTTTATTTATTAAAAGTATTTTTTTTATTGTTTTGCATTTTATTATGATTTAGGTCACTTCCTCTTATCAAGAGGAAAACGTTAAAAGCAAACAGATTACGCACTCGGGTGGGGGGGAACCACATCCACCAGAAATATCCATGGCTCCCCGAGGGGAAAGAAAGGAATAGAAAGGGGGGGAGAGAGAGAAAAAAAAGAAACCAACCACAAAGGAAGGGTCTAACCAAACCAAGACCAGGATGATGTCGCATCTTCAATAATAAAAACCATGAACATTCATCAACATCAAGAACAAATACTATTTTAAAACATATAGCAAGTATGTAGAAATTCATTTCAAAAGGTTGTATAAAATCATTTCATTAATTTGTGATATAGAACCTAAAACCATCCACCACAAGGAAGAATCAACCTCCAACCATTACCAAGACGGTCCGACAGAGGCTTGGATGATGACAAACACAGCTGAAGATGATTGGACCGACTATGCGTCATAACTTATTTGTTATTTGTTATTTCTTAGATGACTTTTTTTCGGTTTTAATCATCAATGTCAACCACCGACACCGTAACTTATTTCTAATCGCTTGCGGTTTGGAGTACATTAAGCGACCATCGACAACAAACCAATACCACCACCGACACCGTAACTTAGTTCTAATCGCTTGCGGTTTGGAGTACATTACGCGACCATCGACAACAAACCAATACCACCACCACCACCACCATTTTTCTTATATCTGATTGTTGTTGCCAGCACTGAATTCATGAAAAACCATCACCAAAACAAATGCAGAAGGAGGTGGCTTTGATTTTGACTAAGGGCCGATTCAGGTATAGTTTTTTCATCTAAAATTTCATGTCAAATACCTTCAACTGATTATGTCTATATACACATTTGTATAATACTATATACTTTATATAAAATAAAAAATGACCAAACTACCCTTATATAAAGGACATATGAAGCACCTAATGGCGGGAAGATATTGATTGTCAAATAGAAGAATGAAAATCAAAATAAAATGAGAATAACAAGAAAAGATTTGTAATAAACAAACCCAAGGGACTAAAAATGAAGTTTTCAACAAACTACAAGGAAAAAAACTGTAATAAACTGGTATATTTTTCTAAAATTCCAATTTAACCCCTGGGATGTTTCATTTAGGGGCTGTTTGTTTTTTAAATTTTTCACTTAATCTCCTCTTATGTCTGAATCGGTCAGACATAAGAACTTTCAG